AATTCTGTTGTCCTGAGTCCCTGGCCTCCTTGCTCTGTCCCGGGCTGCACGTCACTTCCTCCTGCCCTCTGAGGAACATGGGACTAGCTGTCACTCCCATGGCCTCACCAGGCTTGGGGATCGGACCAGTCAAGGCAGGAAGAGTCCTCCTGCCAAGGATGGGAGGTTTTGGGGAGGGGCAGCTGGAAGAGTGGTGGGTTGGAAGCTTTATAAAGTTCTGCTTGGGATTCTCCTATGTCAGTCAACCATCCTTCCATCCCCCCCCCCACACACACACACACACACACACTACCACCCCACCCCCAAGGCAGAGCACAGCATAAGGAAATACATTGCCATTAAGGGTCTTCTTTTATCCCTGGGGTGAGATCCTTCCAGCCTCACACCTCTGGGCTCTCCATCTTATACATGTTAATGTGTTTCTTTGTGAGTCTACCAAACATGAGGAAATCCACGTTTGTGCAAAAGCGAGTTTACTCAGAAAGAAGTATGCCGTGAGAGATTTCCTCAGGCACACCTGTCACTCATAGACCGCCCTGGTAACGACTCAGGCTAGACACTAGACACTAAGCTAGGGGAGACAGTCTATTTCAAAATACGAAATTATTCCTTTGCATTTTTATTGCAATTATGCCTTTTACCCAAATGGTCCAATTTAAGGAGGTTCTAGCCATTGCCGCACTACGGTAATGCGTGAATTCACAATAGAATGAGGTTAACTTCCCTCATTTACTCATGAAAAATGAGCAGATTGTCCCTGTTGAGATTCTTCTTTAATTTAACAAACATATTAATTTATGCTAATGAAAGACATGCTAGGAAATTATCTCTCGCAAACTAGATTTATCCAAAGATGAAATGGGTTCTCAAGTGAGTGGTTGATTTCCCCTATCATTGGAAATCTGCAGGCAGGAGCTAACGGCTCACTTCTGTGAGATTTTACTGAGTGAAATCGGCATTAAGAAGGGTTAGACCAAGGCAACAAATACAATCCACTCCACCCATAAAATTCTGTAAGCTCACATGCACACTTGGACAAAAGTATGGCTGCAGATGGCACCATTAACAAGATAACTGCTTTGGCTAGAAGCATCCCTACATCTTGTGGAGTTGTAAGTACTCTTTATCTCCTAGGCCCGTGGTCAGCAAACCACAGCTCGTGAGCCACATTCGACTCTTTGGCCCCTTCAGTGTGGCTCTTCGACAAAATACCACATGCGGGCGCGCATGTACAGTGCGATTGAACCTGCGTGGCCCATGCGCAGAAGTCGGTATTTTGTGGAAGAACCACACTGAAGGGGCCAGAGAGCCGCATGTGGCTCGCGAGCCACAGTTTGCCGACCACGGTCCTAGGCGAAGGGGAGAACCTAGGCATGGAGGGTGATTTTCCTCCCACACACCTACGAAGATTTCCTGGGTTGTCTTAGACACAGAAGCACAGAAGACTAGAAACTCTGTCCATCACCTCTATAGGTTGGCTCCCCTGGCCATCCCTCTGTGGGTAAAGAATCCAGGCGGGCTTTTCCTTGTGTGATCAAACCTGTGTTCCTGGCTTCCTTGTGACAGATCCATGAACCCATAGATCCTCAAGGCTCTGATGTCATCTCTGAAGATGCCTTCTAAGAGCATCCATGGCCAACATCCCCAACATCCCCTCTTACTTCCTTGGAAGGGAACCCTACTGTCAATCTAATCAAGTCAGAAACTCTCATAAACCACATCACTGAAATATGTCATGATACACTATTGTGTGCCCAGTGAAGAAAATGACCTGTCCTTGAAAATAGCAAGATAGCAGCAGGTGGAGCAGCCAAGGAGACCTCAGGCTGGGGAACAAACTCTCAGGATTCCCTACTTATAATCTGTAAAGTTCTGGTTGAGTTACTGAATTATCCTAACCCTCAATTTCATTATCTCCAAAATGGGGATATGATAAATAGGATCTCCCTCAAAGTGTTGTCATAATTAAACGAGATCATCCATGTAAAGCATGGAGCATAGTGCCTCCTTGCAGTGGGTGCATAATGCATGAATAAACAATAGAACAGAGGTTAAATTCCCTAATTATCCTTTGTTATCACTCAAACTTTTCATATTACATTTTGGCCAGTTCCTGAAAACCCTACAGATTCTAAAATAATAAAAATCAAATTCTAATCTACGCTCTCAAAGGATGCCAAGCGCCATGCTCTTTTAATTGGTCTGAACCCCATTTACAGCTGGCTCAGGTACTGCTCACAGGGAGACACTGACAGGGGAAATCTGGAGGCAAAGCAAGTCTTCCCACTTTGCCTTCCCCAGCTTGCCACGGGAAGAAAATGAAAAACGTAAGATCTGATGCAACTGTAGATTGGACGCATGATCAGGTAACATTTTGAAAGTCATCAGTAAGAAAAGTTTCAAGGAGTCAGAGACTCAGGTATCTATAAGGACCTCTCATGGGGAGAATGGGCCAATAATGGAAAGAACGCTTTGCAAAGGAGTGAGCTCTCAGGCACTCGGAGTGTTCAAGTTGAGGGTGTTCCAAGCCCTAGGACGTCCTGCCCCAGCTCAGAGAAGAGAAGCCCACTTCCTCCACCAAAGCAGAGAAGGTCGCCTAGAGATATCAGTAGGCATTTGAGTCCATATCAGGGGTGTTATGGAAAGTATTCCTGAAGGCAGAGGCCCATTACAACTCCAAGATGCTGTGACAGTGATAGTAATGATGAGTTAATGACAATGACAATGATGATGATGATAATGGTGAAGATGAAGAAAAGGAGGAAGAGAGGGATTAAGTACACTAAAAAGTATTGTTTTAAAATTTTCAAGATCAAATCTATATGGCCAAACCAGTTTGAAATTAATCAGTTAGCCAACAAAGAATAATTCCATCTTGTGCAATTCGTTGTTAAGAGGAATTGAGACATGTATCTTCCTTTGAATTAACTGCTCTGTGGCTAACTCCTTTATTTTCAAGCTGGTGTGTGTGGGTCTCTATGATTGTGCCCCTTTCATTGAAAGCACTTTTGTGATTGGATTTTCTATGGCGTTGCCAGGAGTCACCATGGCTTACAGTGATTCTTTGGAGCATGTTCTGGTTCTCTCTGGATACCAAGCCAGCTATCTGAACATGGACAGAGGCCTGCGGTCTGGGGCGCGAAAAAGCATTGCTCAGCCCCCTCTGAGCAGTAAGCTCCACGGAGCTCACCAGCTGCAGGCCACTGCCCTCCCTGAATCTTAGCCATGACAATGAGCAGCAAGTTTGATCTGAAACCGAGACCACACCAAGAAGCAGGCAAGAGAACAAAAATCATGTAACTGTTGGCTATGACTACCGTACCACCAAGAGGTATGGTCTCTTTGGCATGACCACCAAGAGAAGGTGACTGTCACCTCTCTGTTGGGGACAGAGAATGAGCTCACAACAGTGAGAGCTCGATGTCCTGGCTTCCTTCATAAAGCAACTCTGTGAAATTCAAATCAGGGGTTAAAGGTTCTAAACCCAGGCTTAGCTTCCCGCCCCCTCCCTCTGCTGCCCCCCCCCTCCCCCACTGAACATGATCTGTATGCTGTGTGATCCATGGCAAGTTACTAGGCCTCTCTGGCATGAAGGTACGAGTAAAAGGAGAAGCTTGGTTTAGGCCAATTCCAAGGTCTTTTTCTGTTTTAAAAACTCCTTTCCATCCTAACCAGTTTGGCTCAGTGGATAGAGTGTCGGCCTGTGGACTGAAGGGTCCCAGGTTCGATTCTGGTCAAGGGCATGTACCTTGGTTGCAGGCACATCCCCAGTAGGGGGTGTGCAAGAGGCAGCTGATCGATGTTTCTAACACTCTATCCCTCTCCCTTCCTCTCTGTAAAAAAATCAATAAAATATGTATTTTTTAAAAAAAACAACAAAAAAACTCCTTTCCTCTCTCTGAGGGGACTGGATTATTCTTCCATTTAATGACTCCAAGGTGAATCTGGAAACCAGGCAGGACTCGGCCATTGAGCGCCGACCTTCCAGAAGCTTTTAAGGCTGGGTAATGAGATTGCCGAGTTCTCTGGATAATCAAAATCAAGTCAGTGCCGTTCCCAGGGCTGCCTGCAGCAGACACAGAGGGTATCCAGCTTACGGGTCCATCAGTCTTGGTTTCTCTCGCGTGAAATGAAAGGGCTGCCCTTTTTCCATTTAAATGTAAGTTAATTTTATAAAAACGGATCCTCTATGCAATTTCTTTAACAAAAGAAAAAAAATGTCAAAAATGTTATAAGCCAAAATGTTAGGAAGTGCTATTTCTGGGGTACTGAAAGTATAAGTATTTTTGTGCATGTTTTTCTATATTTTCCAACACTGGTTAATTGTATAATTACTCTGCAATCAAGAAAAAAAAAAGGTTACTTTTAGAAAGAAACCAAGAAACTATCAAAGCTACCATTGAAAAAAAAATTTTTTAAATGAGGAAGTTGCAAAGGATTGAAAAAAATAAAGGGCTGTCTTTGCTGGGGGTCTCTGAGGCTACTTTCTGTTCTAAGAGCCTGTGGATTTATTTTATGAAATAGTTTTATGAAAAATGAGGCAGAAAGACTCTCTCTGTGTAACACATTTCCCCTGTGTCCCCAAACCAAACAAGAAATCGAGCAAGATCCTTAAGGGACTTAAGTTTGCTCATGAAGAAAGTCAGTGTGAATTTGATTTGCTAAATATGTGGGTGTGTGCTCTTCTGTTTTGTTAAAATGATGCTAGTTCGGTGGGAGAAGAAAGGGACACGCTCAAGCCAAGTCCCCCTCCCAGGCCCTGTGCCCGGGGAAGGAATTATTTCCTCCTGGGCTCTCAGTGAGGCTGGGGGGAGGGGGAGACAATCCTCGGTGAAGGGTTTCCTAAGAGATGGATTCCTCTTAATTTTTTTAAAAAATCTTTATTTGCTTTGTCTCTTCTTGCTGTTTCCCCCGCCCCAACTCCAAACACTGGTGAAACTGAACTCTTGCAAACACCCAACTGTGCTAGAAAGTAATTTCTCCTTCTTTTTTGATCACAGTATTCTCAAATGAGGGACGAAGTGTTCAAGTCAAACTTGGTGTGTGCGTTCATCGTTCTTCTGTTTATCACGGCAATACAGAGCTTGCTTCCTTCTTCAAGGTAAATGTGCAAGGACACAGTGGGAGGGGAGAGCTCTTCGCGAGCCGATGGTCCCTGGCCTGGGCCAGCCAGCCGACCTTTGCAAGGGGTCAGAATTTAAAATCCCGGGATCCAGGACACATGGGTGGCGATATCAGTGTCTCTTCTGTGGTCTTCCTCTGCTTATAAGCTCATCCTTCTGCCAAGGCCAGAGGCCCTCCCCCAATCTTAACAAACACAAGGACCAAAATCCACGTAGGCCCCCTCTTATGTGACATCACCCATGAAGGCGGCAAGTGAGTATAACAGCTCGATCGGTTTTCTCATCTATAAAAGGGGAATAACAGTGCCACTGTCCCAGGGCTGATGTCCGAACTTAATGAGCCATTTGATCAATTCTGGCCCCATTCCCCGTTCCGGGCCATAGTTTCCATCCACTGCAGTGGCTAAGAATGCCTTCCCCACAGGGTTGCTAATAGGATCAAGGGAGCCTTGGCCTCCTAGGCTCTTTACAGGTTCTAAAGGGTGTGCGAATGTCACCGATCACTACCACCTGGGTCTCTGTTTCCCATGGCACCACAACAGCTATTGGATGTCCACTCATCCCCACCGATGCCTGCCTCCCCAGCAAACATCCGATCGTGATACTAACCCAGGCCTGTTTACAGACAGGCTGCAGAGAGTAATTAGAGCACGGTGTCGAGGAAGGATTTAGACAGAGCTGTTTGCACATCCCTTGTCATTCCTTTTCAGACTCAGTTTCAGAAATGAAAGGTTTCCTCGCCTCTTCCGTATACCACCTATGCAAAAGCAAACTCGGGGCCCCTGGGTGCCTGAGGAGCTCTATGATTAGATAAAAATTACACCCTGGCGTTACCATGTTTTTGTGCAGATATGAATGGATGCTGAGGAGCTGTGGCAGGGACCTCCAGAGGCATTTAACGTGCAATGCTAGTGCCTCGAGTAGGAAGCCTGTCTTGTCACTAATCCTCTTCCCAGAGATCCTGAAACCGCCTTTGGTTTCCTGAATTTCACAACGAACAGAGACACAGAATAACCTTTCTTTGAGTTCTTATGTGCAAACCATTTCACTGTGTGACTACTTTAGCAGCTGAACCTCCTTTAAGAAGTGAGCTTTAAAAACCCCAGTTCTACACCTTGAAAACTTATACTCAGAGTGAGCTACCTTGCCTAAGGCTTAGTTCTTGCTGCAGGACCATATACCTGCCTCTCACCTCCTGTCTTAGTCGGTTCAGGCTGTTATTTTAAAAAATGCCACAGACTGGGCAGCTTTACACTAGAAATTTGTCTCTCACAATCTGGAGTTTGGAAGTCCAAGGTCAAGTGCTGTGCTGTCTGATCCTGTGTCTGGTGAGTTCTCTCTTCCCGGTTCACACAGAGCTATCTGCATCTTCCACAGGCTCGTGGCAGAAGGGACAAGGGAGCTCTCCTTTTAAGGGCACTAACCCCATTGCTGAGGGCTCCACCCTCATGACCTAATCACCTCTCAAAGACCTCAACTTAAACACCATCACACTGGGCTACCGGACTCAACATACCAACTTTGGGGAACACAAACATTCAGTCCGTAGCACCTCCCTTTCCTTTATTCAGCAAGCCCAGCAGGAAGTGCTGATCGCTTAAAACTCTGTTAGGGACTCACTCAGGTGGTTCTCTAGGCAAATACAGCCCACAGCCCTCCAGGACACCTGACACCCCACCAAAGTATACACGAAAGCACAATAGCTACGTGGAAACAAAGCGTCCACTTCATAAAGTTCCAAGACAGCGCTGGCTTTGCTGAAGCAGAGCGATGGTGAAAGCTGGAACACAGAATGTGGTTACAGTCAGGAGAGGAGAGCACGTGGTGTTTGCTCCGAATCTCTCAGCTCGATCTCTGCCTCTCCATTCTCCCCTCCAACTCCAGTGTGGGGTCTCCCTGCTGTGATGGTGGGAAAGGTCAATGCAAGGCACCCCTGCCCACTCACCCCAATGCCAACGAATGAAGGGGATGGGACTTCCTGGGGTGACCCGAGTTCCCTGCCTGGGGAGAGATGGCAAAGAGAAGAGATGACCAGACTTCTTCCCACAGGGAGGTCAAGGCTGTGGCTTCCGGGCCCTCCCAGTGCGTCTAGGTCACAGTGGTTGGCAAACTGCGGCTCTTCGGCCCCTTGAGTGTGGCTCTTCCTAAGCCTTAGGAGTACCCTAATTAAGTTAATAACAATGTACCTACCTATATAGTTTAAGTTTAAAAAATTTGGCTCTCAAAAGAAATTTCAATCATTGTACTGTTGATATTTGGCTCTGTTGACTAATGAGTTTGCCGACCACTGGTCTAGGAGGAGAAGGGGACCTGAGTCTGAATTCGCGTGCACACTGACATTTAACAGCGACCTTGTCTTTCAGGAGGAAGGAGGAGGCAGCAGGGGGGGTAGCCAGA